AAGATCTTTCATTTAAGATTCTTTGCAAATCTTTCAAAGATCTTTTAAGAATCCTTAAAAGATCCTTAAATCACTAGTAGGTCTTTAAAGATCTTGTGAGATCCTCAAAGATCCTGTAAAGCCTTAACAAGGGTGAGGAACCTTCCAAAATAAAAATGAAAAAAATGAAACACCTTGTCTGCAATAAGTGCACTCTATACCCAACAAGCATCCTGAGCTTCCAAATTACTGCACCTTTCAATAACATGCGGACTCTAAAATTCAAAGCTCAACCGACAAATACGTTTTTCGCTACCATCAATCAAATGTTCAGCAGCTCTTCCAAGCTTCCACCTACTGCCGAACACTGTTTCGTTGTCTGGACTGTGCTCAACAATTTGATTACCACTTGCTCGGCAATAGTTGGAAGCTGGGAGGAGCCGCTGAATTAATTGACGGTAGTGAAAAACACATTTGTTGGTTGAGCTTTGAATTTTAGAGTACACATGTTATTGAAAGGCACAGTAAATTAGTTCTCAGGGTGCCCAGGATCATTGTTTTTGATTCTCGGAGCTACATTATTTTGTCCCATAAAAAGAATGAAATCCTAAAGATGAATGCTTAACAATTTCTTATTTTTATTTAAGATATTGATGCCAGCTTTTTTGTGTGTCTGTCCTCTTATTGACAATGAAGTGCATCATAATATTGTTACTAACAGTAGCTGAGGAACCACTTGGCAGTGCTTGTGGATCCACAATCTTCTTTGATAATAGTGTGATGAAATTTATCATCAGTGAGAGGATATAAAAAGTAATAAATTTTTGATGATTCAATTCTTTTATTTTAGGGCATTTTAGGTACAGAAAGCAATAATAATCAAGCAAAGAATTCCAATGATGGAAAATGCCACATGTAGGCAAAATTGCAAGGAAACCACAATTTCTTTTGGCCAAAACAATTTCAAACTCACAATGCCATAATCCAAACTACAGTACATGAACAACACTTGAAGTGGAATTTGTAGAACGTTAACCACATTTATTCTATTCAAAAATTCCGGAAAGCCTGCTGCACCAAGTTCGGTCCACTTGCATGAGATCAGTACTTTGAACACAGAAAAATACAGAGTTCAATCATCAAATTTCAAAGTTTAACACGTTCTTTTCTCCTTACAGTGGAGCCTGGCATGGACTTAAAGTCACTTAAGCAATTTTGGTATTTTACCACAATTGCTACTAATCTTGCAATCTGATTGGTTAATTTGTCATTGCCGATAAGAGTCCAGACAACGCTGTTTGCATCAATGTGTTACGCACTGGCTTTTTCAGCTTGCGCTACAAAAAAACATTTTCTTTGATGTTGATATTGTCGTAAAAAACAGGGGACTGTGATGACACATATCATTGTCGATATGAGTACAGACCACGCTAAACCATATTCAATTTGTTAAATTTTCTCCCAACCCAATTTAGCCTAAGGGAGAGGGGAACGAAGTGCCCATGCTGAATTCAATATTTCTCACAAAAACAGCGTTCAAAGCCACATGTATAGCGGTCAAACTTAACCTACATGTACACTGTAAAAATTACACTTCATTATTGGAAACTTTTTTTGTTTGTCAACTGTTTGGTCACATGATTTGACACCTCCATGGCAACAGGTAAATTAAGGCTAACAGAAAACTATTTGCATCCAGTTGCATTGCTTAAACTTCAATCAGGAACTGACAACATTAAAATAATGTGTTGTAAGAAGCTTCGCAAAAAAATGAAAATTTCAAACTTTCAGCCCCAAAAGTGGTCGCGGTCGCTTATGAGAGCTGGTCGCTTACAAGAGGTTCCAAATATAGTGATTTGACTTGGAAAGTTTTGGTATTTTGGAAAACTGGTCACTGAGTAGAGGCAGTCACTTACAAGAGGTGGTCAGGTTGAAATCGGAGGTTTGACTGCATGTTTGATCAGGAATATCGCTGCATGCATGCACAACTCTTGTAAAACAAGTGGTACTGAACATTATGCTGGA